GTTTTCACACACACACACACACGTGTAAGGGGTACGATGTGTTCTCGTGCTGCGGTAAGATGTTTCAAGAAGCAGACGTTGAGCATTACTACACCCGAGTTTCGTATGCTACTGGCCTCCGATTAGCGCGGACGGCTACGTACGGTGCGAAAGAAGTTCAACATACATACGTGGCCTCGGCAGCGCGGTCATGAGAGTTCCTCTGGGTTAGATTCTCGGTCACGGTTAAGATCAGTGACGCACAGCGATATCTGAACCGATCCTGGTCGCCCCTTCCCCCCCCCCCCTCCATCCTCACCCTTCCCCAGATCACCCCCCGCCGCCCTTCTTCAGCATCAAGTCGCATTGACTCGCAGGCAACAGCCAAGACCGACGTGACTTGGTTCCGAGATCCGAGGCGTTCCACCAGTCGTGGAATGATGGACTGTTCTGGACAAAGCATTACCGCTCTCAATATCCCAACAGATCTTAACTAACGTACGTAATTTTGGGATCCATAAAAAAGGTTTTGCTATATTTTTTTAACAAAGGAGATACACATATATATCTACATGAGGGCAGGAGATGAGAGCTCCCTACTCGCGCCGCCACGACCACCACCACTACCGCCGACACTACGGCGCACGTTCGGCATCAAATTCTATTACTCGCCTGGATGCGCGCCTGCTGTGAGACTCCAGACTCACGACCGACAACGCCACTCGTGACTGCTGAGGTCGCCAGCGTGGCGACAAGGTCACGATAACCCTTTGCGATCACCGCAGCGTGCACGCTCTGCGTGTCGCAGCGCAACTGCGGGATCGCCGAGTTTACGAAGCAAGGAACCCCAACGCAGAAGACACAGATCCCCCCGTGTAGCATGAACACGCTGTTCGGGCAAGTGCTGTTAGCGAGCACCTACGAAGGCCGGAACATGAGGGGGTGTGTGGCCAGCGCCACGCCCGGCCGCCTTTGTCTCCCCGGTGGCGATGTTTACACATTGCACCAGGTACTGCTTTTTAGGCCGAGTTGACCTAGTGGAGGCCCAGAACCGGTTCAGATAATCGTCACTGGTGTTGGTGGCTGTGAGCGGGAATCGAACTCGGGTTCGCCGGGTTCGTAGCGCAGCACGCTAAGCGCTACACTACCGCTCCCCACACACATTCGCTCACTCACGCACAGCCAACCTGCACTTAATTAACAGCAGCGACGACGCATTCTCAGTGACATATTTAACTCTCCCGCTCGTTCAATTCCCCGAATGTATCGACAATGTCAAAGTCAAAATGCACATTCACAGAGAGAATATGTCGATAGGAGTGGGGTTTTTTTGCGGCCCAAGTCAAAACCCCGCGCCCGCTGAATACGCTGCGATGTAATTGCCAAAATGAATAATTGATTTGAATGCGGTGTGCTTACCTATTGCGCATAGCGGACCGATGTTTTGACACCTCATAATCTGCCTTCCGCTTGCCCGTCGGCGAAGTCCTTGTGAACTTTACGTAAGCTAGTTACACAATGCGAGTTGCGCAAAGGCGGATTACCCCGCACAGCGCTATCGGCTACTAAGCCCGCCGCGTACAATGCACGCGAATCTCGATACTCCCGTCGTGTACACGAAGCTTTCGTGATGTCCTAGGCCTTCGCAGGATATGTTGCTGTACAGATCTGCGATACGGGGGGAGGGAGGGGGGGGGAGGGTGTACCGCGTGTTGTCCGACGTTTCGCTTGCACGTGCTCAGTTGTGGATCTTCTTCAGACACTGAATTCGGCTCGACAGTGGCGCTCTATAAACGTGGCCACAGGGTCCACGATTTGGGCGACTTAAATCGGTTACTCAGGGTGCCTTTGCAGAAGCTTTCAGCACATGGAGCGAAAGGCCCGGTAGAGACAAACACACACAAGGCGCGGTACAACGGCGAAAAACACATCGGAGAACACGCGCCTACGGCTCACCGCAGACAGCGCGTTTGCGACTAACGGTGATATTATTATCGGCGAGTTAGAGACAAACAGAGAGTGAGGTCACGACGCACCGTCGGCTAGTTTAGCCGTCCGCGTCGCACATCGTGGACCGATTCATTCTGTTCCGAGCCCTCTCCGTGTGCTGCGCAGCCGCGACGCGGGGGTGCCGTGCCGGTTACGAGACGGCGCGAACGCGCGTGCGTTAAACAACCACGACCACGCGCATCGCACAAAGGGAGTCTGCTTCTCTCGCTTGCTAAGGGGGGGGGGGGCGAGGGGGCAGGCAAAGGCATGAATGGGGGGGGGGAAGCATAGAAGGTCTGAGGATTTGCGGTTCTGAGAGGGGAGTGAAAGATGTTTGCTCGTGTCACGAAATTACCGGAGTGCCCGGAGCGGCATCAGTTAATAGCGGCGGTGCAGTTAGGGCTCTCATCACCATCATCATCATCTCCGCCGCACTTCGCTCCCAGACTTTCGCGTAGGCGCAAATGCAGTGGGGCAACAATTGCGGTAAACACGGCGGCTCGCGACGTCAGCCTACACCAGCCCCCCCCCCCTGCCCCCCGCGTGTGTGCCGGGGGTGTTGGCGGCGCGCGCTTTCGCCGACCACCGAGGATGCTCGCGCGCGGCGCGCTCGCCGTGACCCCGCAGCGGCGAGCCTCGCGCTCGCCGTGACCCCGCAGCGGCGAGCCTCGCGCTCGCTGTCGTCGCGGCGGGCGTGCGGTGTTTGCTGCGCCTGTGCGCAATGTTGTAGGCGCACGTGGCCAGTGGGAGCAATGACAGCTCACGACGACGACGACGATGATGATGATGATGAGACAAATTATTTTTAGAGGACTGATGATCATTTTGAAGATTATTTACAAACGACTTATGGATGATAATGATTATATATGACAGATAATATTCATTATGGAATAATGGCGATTATGATAATGTAAGACATACATGATCAACATGACGATGATGATGGATTTAATAGAAGAATAATGATCATCATGACATACTTGATGGTGACGATTATTCATACATTATGGCTTTTAAAACAACGACTATAATATATGATGATCGTGATGATGATGGTGATGGTAATGCGCGTATTGCAATGTGTATATCACAGAGTAGATGATGGTGATGATGATGCACGGACTGGAATGTGCATATCACAGAGTAGATGATGGTGATGATGATGCACCGATTGCAATGTGTATATCACAGTGTAGATGATGGTGATGATGATGATGCACGGACTACAATGTGTATATCACAGTATAGATGATGATGGTGATGATGATGCACGGACTGCAATGTGTATATCACAGTGTAGATGATGATGGTGATGATGATGCATCGACTGCAATGTGTATATCACAGTGTAGATGATGATGGTGATGATGATGCACGGACTGCAATGTGTATATCACAGTGTAGATGATGATGGTGATGATGATGCACGGACTACAATGTGTATATCACAGTGTAGATGATGATGGTGATGGTGATGATGATGCACCGACTGCAATGTGTATATTACAGTGTAGATGATGATGGTGATGATGATGCACGGACTACAATGTGCATATCACAGTGTAGATGATGATGGTGATGGTGATGATGATGCACCGACTGCAATGTGTATATCACAGTGTAGATGATGATGGTGATGATGATGCACCGACTGCAATGTGTATATCACAGTGTAGATGATGATGGTGATGATGATGCACCGACTGCAATGTGTATATCATAGTGTAGATGATGATGATGCACGGACTACAATGTGTATATCACAGAGTAGATGATGATGGTGATGATGATGATGCACGGACTACAATATGTATATTACAGTGTAGATGATGATGGTGATGATGATGCACGGACTACAATGTGTATATCACAGTGTAGATGATGATGGTGATGATGCACGGACTACAATGTGCATATCACAGTGTAGATGATGATGATGATGCACGGACTGCAATGTGTATATCACAGTGTAGATGATGATGGTGATGATGATGCATCGACTGCAATGTGTATATCACAGTGTAGATGATGATGGTGATGGTGATGATGATGCACCGACTGCAATGTGTATATCACAGTGTAGATGATGATGGTGATGATGATGCACGGACTACAATGTGTATATCACAGTGTAGATGATGATGGTGATGATGATGCACCGACTGCAATGTGTATATCACAGTGTAGATGATGATGGTGATGATGATGCACGGACTACAATGTGCATATCACAGTGTAGATGATGATGGTGATGGTGATGCACCGACTGCAATGTGTATATTACAGTGTAGATGATGGTGATGATGATGATGCACGGACTACAATGTGTATATCACAGTGTAGATGATGATGATAGTGATGATGATGCACGGACTACAATGTGCATATCACAGTGTAGATGATGATGGTGATGATGATGATGATGATGCACGGACTACAATGTGTATATCACAGTGTAGATGATGATGGTGATGATGCACCGACTACAATGTGCATATCACAGTGTACATGATGATGATGCACGAACTACAATGTGTATATCACAGTGTAGACGATGATGATGGTGATGATGATGATGCACGGACTACAATGTGTATATCACAGTGTAGATGATGATGATGCACGGACTACAATGTGTATATCACAGTGTAGACGATGATGATGGTGATGATGATGATGCACGGACTACAATGTGTATATCACAGTGTAGACGATGATGATGGTGATGATGACGATGATGATGCACGGACTACAATGTGTATATCACAGTGTAGACGATGATGATGATGGTGATGATGACGATGATGATGCACGGACTACAATGTGTATATCGCGTTGCACACGCGGCTCTGGGAGCGCGTGCGCACACGGTGGCGGAGCGCACACAAACACGCTCTTTGCCTTCACCCGGAAAACTGCCTTGAGCCGCGGGGCTCGCAGGACGAGAGATTGGGGAGGGGGGGTTGGTGGTGGTGGTGGGGGGGGGGAGCGGTGGGACTGGGTGGTACGTAGAGGGGGTGGGGTGGTGTGCGTGGAGGAGGCTTGTCACGATCACAGCTCGGAGAGAAGTGGGTTAGTGGCCGTGAGAGGGAGATCTGGGCACGTCGCCGTGAACGTGCGGCGCTGGTTGCTGGTTACTTAGCCGACTACTCACGGGGCCGCGTTTCCGCAACAGCATCGCGACAGTTGTTTGCTGCTGCTGCTGTTGCTGCTTCACTCGCTAACCAACTCACTCCGCCGCCGCCGTCGTCGTCGTCACGATATCCCTACGCACGCTGAACGCGACTAGAGGACGAGGTCTAACTCGAGACGTAGCTGTGAGCAATCACGTCGCTTCTACAACGTGGGGGGACAAGACTTGAAGCGACCATGCTGTGGAAACTTACCGATAGAATGAAGTACGACGAGGTGTACGAGGTATGACTTCCCCGTTTGACTTTCTCAACTTGCTTACTCCCCTTACTCCTCTTTATCCTCTGTGGGACGTAGGGCTACAATAAAGCGCTTGCTTAATCCGCATCTGTTTTTTTGTTCTTGTTGCGGCTGCTGCTTGTCTGTCCCGCGCCTAATGATCCATGCCACTCCCTGGGTTTTGGCCCGCGGAAACTTCTTGCCTATTGTGTTGAGCTTAGTCGCGGAGTCATTTCGCGCCGCGTGGAGCTCCGTACGGTCCACGGACCCGTCGCGTTCGGAGCGCGCCGTCTTGGACCCCGGATACAATACTTGCGCGTGTGATGTGTCTGTAGATTTACACGGACTCACCAATTCGCGCTTTGCTTTATTTGAGTCTCATCGTCCTGTGTGGAATGCATTACGACATTCCAGCAGCATCCGGTAATCCGTCAGAGTTTGGCTTAACAAACTTGACGCTGCTGATGAGGACCCAGAGGATCGAAACCGCTCTCAAGTTTCCTTTTGCTTTAAAAATAAATGAGGGTGAATATAATGTTTGTGTGGAAAGTCTAAAAAAGCGCTGGTGGGCACAACGTATATTTCATGTATACGTGGAGATACACGATAGAGTAATCTTTAAAATGGACCTTGATATGAAGCGCACTGATAACGTGATGTAGTACATTTGATAAATCTAGCTGACATTGCATGGTTAAAAGAGTGCTGCTTCGTGTGAAGTCAATGTTTCAAATGCACGCACAGGAAACACTGCGCTGCAATGTCAGAAGACGTAAAGTTTTAACGGAGTTAAATGATGTTTGGCTCTATGCATGTCACGTGCTCATTATAGTTTCGTAGTTTATTGTAATCACTGCATACTCGTTGATCACGTAGTACGCACGGTTCAATAACACCGCGTTCAACTTAGAAAGCAACGTAATGCATGAAGTCATATATAAAATATATATCGAAACTTAGATGTTTTTTGTATAATCAGCAGAATTAAAATGAATGTGTTGGGGAAGCTCCGTGTATTGTTCGGAAGCTGGAAATGCCGTGTGTATGTAGACACGCGTGCGCGAATGTGCATATGCTCACATACCACGTAGACATGTGTATGCACGCGTGTGTATTTACACGTGTGTGTGTGTGTGTTAAGTCTTTAGTGGTAGCTTAGTGGTTAGCACAAGAACCCGACGACCCGAGCACGATTCCCGCTCACAACCAATATCAGTGGCGAATATTTTAAACCGGTCCTGGGCCTCCCCTAGGTCGACTCATCGTCAAATTAGTACCTGGTGCGGTGTGTAAACATCAGCAATGGGGAGACCAAGGCAGTCAGGCGTGGTGATGCCCCCCCCCCCCCCCCCACGTGTGTCGTTCCGGCCTCGGTAGGTGATCGCTATCAGCACTTGCCCCAACAGTCTGTTAAATGTTATACGGTGATCTTTGTCTTCGTGACTGCATGCATCATGGACAGGGCCATCACGTGACAATCGCAGTCACTTCGTGGCACTCGAGCTCGTGCACATTTTTGTTTAAATATAATTTTTATAGGAGCGATCAATTTCAATTATAAGTTCCGAAATTGCGTTTTTATATATGTATAATTTACGGATTTATAAACATGAATTGAATGCGTAAAGTAAATTCAGACGGGTTAGATGCAGCCAATTAATTCGTGGTATTAAAAGAACACCTAAATATATATAACCGAAACATCTATTTCAAAACAATAATATTGGTGGCGATGATAATGATGTTGATGTCTGTGTGATTGAGTAATGTCTCAGAAAGGCCGTGTTGGCCATTATTAGTAAAAGTTTATTTTTTTTTAGCGGGAAACAATAAGTTCCTTCCTATGTATGTTGAACGTCTTTCGCACCGTACGTAGCCAACCGTGCATTGTCATCATCAGACGCGCTCGCTCTCTGTGCAGAGAGAGAGAGATACTCAACCATTGAACGCTTCTGAATGTTAACAGATAACATATCCCGATGTCGTTTATATTGGCCAAGTTTAAACACTGCACGATGTACTGAATGCAATGTTCTAATCCTCGGCTACAGAGAGAGGAGAGGGAGAGCTGCCCTTGACACAACTCGACTAGAAAGGGACGCAACTTAAAAAAAAAAAACCGCGCGCATCGCAATAGCAGCGCTGACACAAAGAGATAACAGAACAACAAAAACTCAAAACGACCCAAAAAAATTACGAGCGGCGGATACGAATGCACACAAGCACGGACGCACAGACACACACACACATCAGACAAAGATCCCCCATACAGCCTGTAACAGACTGTTGGGGCATGTGATGTTAGCGAGCGTCCGTGAAGGCCGAAAAGGCACGCGAGGGGGTGGGTGACCAGCACCGCGCCCAACCGCCTTAGTCTCCCGAGTGGCGACGTTCACACACCGCAGCAGCTACTCATTCGAGGCTGAGTCGACCCAGGGGAGGCCCAGGACCGGTTCAGATAATCGTCACCGGTGTTGGCCGTGAGCGACACTCGAACTCCGGTGGCCGGCCTCGTAGCGCAGCGTAGCGCTCACCGCCACCGTCACCCGCCCGCTCCCCGCACGCGGAGACGCGGGCACACGCGCGCACACGTATACGCCGACGACTCGCGGCACACGCGCAAAGTACTTGTCCCGGCGACGCTGAAAGTTAATTAAGCGCCATCTGAGGGATTGCAGTTTCAGTGTTTATATCGCTCGGTTTCTTGTAAATCGGTCGGCAATTCGGTCGCGCCTCGTTCATTATTCATGACGCGGCGGAGGACCTCGCTCTGTGATTAGACAGCGCGAGCGTCGTGCACCCGACACGTCACTCCCGACTGGGCGTCCGCGTGCGGGCACGCAAGCAAGCAAGCAGCAGCAGCATCATCATCAGCAGCAGCAGCATCAACAGCATCATCGGCGTCGTGAACCAAACGCGCTCGAAGCCACCTCTCGCTCCGCTCGCTCGAGCCGCACGCGAACAACGAGTCATGACCGCTCGCTCCAAGTTGATGGTCGGCCGGTTTTAGTCGAGGCGCCCCGACAGAAGAGAGCGAAGAGAAGTGGGTGGGTGGGTGGGTGGGTCGGTAGCAGGGCGGTGGGGGGAGAGACGCTGCTTTCTTTCTGAGTCTTGAGACTCGCCGACGAGACGAGTAGAGAAGGAGAGGGAGAGAGAGAGAGAAGCCACCACAGCAGCCCCGCGGCCAAAAGTCTCCAAACCCCCCAAAAAAGGAGTCACATTCGCCTTCTGGTTGTTCTCCCCCCCCCCCCCAAGCTCGCTCAACGCTTCTTCTCTCCGCACGAAGCCTCTATGCTGGGTTGAATTTTCGCGGACATTGACTTAACAACTCGAGACATGTTAGTCCACAGTTACAAAGCCATGGTGAGTTGTGAGCTCGTATAACACTCGTCTTACTTCTCTCGGACAAGGGCCGGGGGGGGTTGCGGGAGTGAATGAGGATAGTCGGGGGGGGGGGGGGGGTGTAAAGAAAATCAGAAGTGCTACGAGAGGAAGTCGCTCTGCCTTCTCCATCATCATCATCGCCGCAGCGGATGCAACTTTGTTGATAATCTTTGGTGGGAGGCGGGAGGGGTTCGCTGCCGTTCGCGCGCACGATCCGAATCGACGGTCTCTGGCGTGCAGCGCATCTCCATCTCTCTCCATATCTCTCCATCTCTCTCCGGCTCTCTCCGTCTCTCTTCATCTCTCCGTCTCTCTCCGGCTCTCTCCCCATCTCTCTCCGGCTCTCCGTCTCTCTCAGTCTCTCCCCGGCTCTCCCCATCTCTCCCCATCTCTCTCCGGCCCTCTCCGTCTCTCTTCATCTCTCCGGCTCCCCATATCTCTCCGGCTCTCCGTCTCTCTCAGTCTCTCCCCGACTCTCTTCCATCCGATTCTGCTTCCGTCTCTAACCCCAACAACCACAACCACCCCGGCCGTCGCCTTGACCTCGCGTTCGTTCTCGCTCTCTCTCTCTCTCCACTCCCTCTGCCCTTCTCCCCGACACCTCTCCCTTCCAGGACCGGCACGAGGTGCCGAGCGGCCACGGAGCCAGCCGACTCACGCAGCTCGGAGCCATCAGCCAGTCGCCGTACCAGGCGCCGCCGCTGTCCCACACTCCCAACCCGGAGTTCCAGCCTCCCTACTTCCCGCCTCCCTACCAGCCGCTTCCCTACCACCAGTCGCAGGACCCTTACTCGCACGTGGCCGACCCCTACCTGAACGTCCTCCACCAGCAGCAACAGAGCCCCTGGCAGCAGCGGCATGGGGGTGACATGCGCGGAGACTCGGGGCTCTTGGCTCAGCACCGCGGGCTGCCGCAGCTCACCGCCGGTCTGGAGCCGCATCGGCGCGGCGACTTCCCGTCGGTGCGGCGGCCCGAAGCGCTGCACGGAGGGCAGTCGATGGAGTCCGGCCTCGACGGCCTGCAGCTCGCCGGATTAGGGCACCACAGCATCGACGAGGTGCAGGTACGCACCGCGACGGCCACACTCGGAGCGCGCGCTCCATCGTCAGCTCCGTGGTGGGTGGAGGTGTCCGCGCGCCTTGTACCTAGTCCGGTGTGTAAATGTCGCCACTCGGGGAGACAAAGGCGGCCGGGCGTGGTGCTGGCCAGCCAACCCTTCGTGTGCCGTTCCGGCTTTCATAGGTGCTCGCTAACAGCACTTGCCCCAACAGTCTGTTCAGGATACGGGGGGGGGGTATCATTGTCTTTGTGTGCGCGTGTGGCTGTTTGGATGTCTGTGTGTGTGTGTGTATTTGTCTTTGTGTGTGTGTGTGTCTGTGTGTATTGTCTTTGTTTGTGTGTGTGCGTGTCTGTGTGTATTTGTCTTTGTGTGTGTGTGCGTCTGTGTGTATTTGTATGTGTGTATTTGTGTGTGTCTGTGTGTATTTGTCTTTGTGTGTGCGTCTGTGTGTATTTGTCTGTGTGTATTTGTCTGTGTGTATTTGTGTGCGTGTCTGTGTGTATTTGTCTGTGTGTATTTGTGTGTGTGTGTCTGTGTGTGTGTCTGTGTGTATTTGTCTTTGTGTGTGTGCGTCTGTGTGTATTTGTCTGTGTGTGTATTTGTCTGTGTGTATTTGTCCGTGTGTATTTGTGTGCGTGTCTGTGTGTATTTGTCTGTGTGTGTGTGCGTCTGTGTGTATTTGTCTTTGTGTGTGTGTGCGTGTCTGTGTGTATTTGTCTTTGTGTGTGTATGTGCGTGTCTGTGTGTATTTGTCTGTGTGTATTTGTGTGTGTGTGTCTGTGTGTATTTGTCTGTGTGTATTTGTGTGTGTGTCTGTGTGTATATGTCTGTGTGTATTTGTGTGTGTGTCTGTGTGTATTTGTCTGTATGTATGTGTGTGTGTATTTGTCTGTGTGTGCGTCTGTGTGTATTTGTCTGTGTGTATTTGTGTGTGTGCGTCTGTGTGTATTTGTCTGTGTGTATTTGTGTGTGTCTGTGTGTGTGTGTCTGTGTGTATTTGTGTGTGTGTCTGTGTGTATTTGTGTGTGTGTATCGTTCTGTGCGTGTTGTATCTATTCGTGTTTCTCCATGTTTGCTTCTCTGTATGTACGTAAATATGCTTGTATGGGCCTGTGTCTCTGTGTGTATATCTATCTTGTGGGGAGCGGTAGTGTAGTGGTTAGCGTGCTGCGCTACATACCCGGCGAGCCCCGAGTTAAACTCCCAGTGACGGCCAACGTCAGTGATGATTATCTGAACCTGTCATGGTCATCCCCTCGGTCGACTCAGCCTCAAACGAGTACCTGGTTCTGTGTGCAAACGTCACCACTGGGGAGACAAAGGCGGTCGGGCGTGGTGCTGGCCACCCACCCCCTTGTATACCTTGCCGGCCTTCAAAGGTGTTCTCTAACAGCACTTGCTCCAAAAGTCTATGAAGGCTATACGGGGAATCTTTGTCTTTGTTTTGTATCTGTCTATATGTTTGTCTGTGTAAATGTCTTCGTGTTTGTGTCCACGTGTCTGTCTTAGCGCATGTGTCCGCGTCTCTCTGTGGTTTTTGTTTTGTCTGTGGGTTTCTGTGTCATTGTTTTTTTCTCTGTATGTATTCGTCTCTTTGTGTGTGGTGTGCTTGTACGGCTCTGTACATCTGTGACTCTGTGTGGTGTCAGTGTGTCTCTGGGTGTGTGTCTCTATGTGGGGAGCGGTAGTGTACCGGTCAGCAACGCTGTACTACGAACCTGACGACCTGGGTTCGATTCCCACTCACGACCAACATCAGTGATGAGTATCTGAACCGGTCCTGGGCCTCCCCTAGGTCGGTTGAGCCTCAAATGTGTACCTAGTACGGTGTGTAAACATTGCCACTCGGGAAACAAAGGCGGCCCGGTGTGGTGCTGGCCACCCACCCCCTCGTATGCCGTTCCGTCCTTCATAGGTACTCGCTAAGAGCACTTGCCCCTACAGTCTATTAAGGCTATACGGGGGGGGGGGGTCTTTGTCTGTGTCTGTGTGTCTGCGTGTGTCTCAGTGTGTGTCTCCTTGTGTGTCTCTATGTGGTGTTCACTCGCTGAGTTTGACATCCGCCTTGCGAGTTACATCACGGAACACTTTGTATAACGCGACATTTGTCCAACGTATTGTCAGTTGCTCATGCGATGTTTGTGCAAAGCGTTGCAGAGTTTAGTTGCCAGAATATTGCAATGTATAACGAGAGAAGCAACGTGCGGTGTTTTTTTATGTACATATATTTATAACATATGTCGTGTGGCTAGCAAGATTGCATCCGAAGTGTCACTGTCAAATGGCATAGACTGCTATTGTACTCATTTTGTATCTGTTGTAATATATGACGGCTTCGTTTGTAAACAAATATATATAGAATTTACGTTTAGGGTTTTTGTTTTACAATTAACCTTCTGAAATTATAACGTGACATGCGTATACAATGCACTGGAATTCATGTCACTTCATATGACGAGAATGTGATGTAACGAACCGTGGATAAACCAGAAGGATAACTCCGCGTGTCAAACCGTAAACAGCTGATCGCGGCGTTGCACCGATTCGTTGAAACAGAGTTGCGAGGCGCAATTGTCACGCAATTTCAGCTTTAATAGGACTGTCAAATTAGAGGTTCCATCGAGAATACATTATCATCATCATCATCGTTTACGCGAATCTAATTGCGCCAGCAGAATTGTCAACTCGTCACCCATTCCTCAATATTACTGAACATTAACGCCGCTTGTAAAATAAAAAAAATCCTTACAAACAACAACGCGCACAGTCGATATTATAAACAAGAGCCACATCTGGTTTCTGTCTGCCCATATGTACAATTTTCGAGGGATAAAATTGTGGAAACGACAAGATAAATGATTAATTATTATTTCTTAAATCCACTGTTAAATCCTCATTAATCATGCAGCCCAATGTTTTATAATTGGTAACCGCGTGCCTTTGAAAGACGCCCACAAGGGATGCATCATCTTTAACTACGAGCAAGCGCAATCAGGGCAGACATTTGTATCGCCTTTTTCTTAAAAAATACATATATACATATCGGATATCTCGCCAAGCAGATTCATTTAGTCGCACGTGTGGTATTCGCATCCTAATTGTGTGGGTCGTTGATGTATTCCGCACGTATGGTAATGCTTGCGATATTTTTTTTTTAAACAGCGCCGTTAATCACTCCCAAAAAAATTCACGTGAATTAAGACAGCCACGATACCGTGGGTGGTTTTTGTATGATGATGATGATGAGTGTTGTTGTTACTTCTCAGCACGTGCTCCCACGTCAGACGTTAAATAATGTGTCGCAAAGCGTGCACAGTATTTGCCATCGCGGAACAAACCCAGAAATGTTGAACGTAAGGCTCCAAAAACGATACATTACAAATTAGATAAAAACATACTTTAATACCTCTTCAAACTTTGTTTGGCAAAAAAATAAACCTCTCTCCGTGCGCCGCTACCTACACGCGTCTAAGTGCCGCTCTGTGACGTCGGCAGCACGTACACACAACAATTGAACTTTACAAACGAGGGCCACATTGGTTCTTTTTTGGGCCTTCTTTAAAAATCAACCGAGACCGGCGGTCCCGGGAAACTCCGCCCTCGACGTCTAAATGAGAATGAAAAAGATGCTCGTGGGCATTTGAGTTGGAACGCAAGTTCTCTTCCGCAAACAAACAAAAAAGGCGATCGCTAAACAGCCATACACCGTATACATATATGTGTTCATTTGTATCAGCACACTATTTATTATGATCATGATGATGATTAAAAAAAATGAAAATCCAAATATTCTCAATCCCACCCATGGATTCAAGGCCGTCACACGCCAAATGTCGATCATGGGATGTTCTTTCGTTTGACCATACTTCACCACGGTGGTCAACGCGGGTTGGTTGAAAGATGACAATATCGCGTTGTGGCTATTGTCGGAGTTATCTCTGGCGAAAGCATCGCTATTATTGGTATTACCTTATCCTTATTATAATTAATAGCGCGTGCTTTGTCCAAACCGCGGCGCTGCGTTTGGTGTTGCACGTGTGCACTCACTTCGGTCGTCTGGGAGTTTATCTTAGGGGCACTTGAGTGTTGCAGCGTTTACGTTTGTGCAAGACAAAGACAAAGATCCCATCCCCCCCTTCGTGTAGCCTCAACAGATTGTTGGGGCAAGAGCTGTTAGCGAGCACCTGATGAAGGCCGGCACGGCGCACGAGGGGGTGGGTGGGTCAGCACAACGCCCGGCCGCCTTTGTCTCCCCAGTGGCGATGTTTACACATCGCACCAGGTACTCAATTGAGAATGAGTCGAACTAAGGGAGGCCTGCGACCGATCCAGATAATAATCGTTACCGGTGCCGACCGTGAGCGGAAAATCGAAATCCGGTCGCCGGGTTCGTAGCGCAGCGCGCTAACCGCTACATCACCGTTTGTGCACACACACACACACCAACCCGATGTCATCCCGTCCGACCGTACACCTACAATCCGTACCGCTTTCTGAACACTGAACGGTGGCTCGAACAATGAATCATTCATGGACAGCGCTCAGGTATATAATCTCAGTGTCGCTTGTGTTTGCCGCGTGTAGATGGGGGGGGGTAAAACTTTAAAGCCAGAGGTGGCATTGTTCGTATTAGCTCGGGGGGCGGTACTGTGTGTGGCAGCGTGTGAATAGCCTTGTTTACATTTGCGGCATTAATTGCAAATCCGTACCGATGATATGCTCGGCGCGCGCCAATCACCACACACACACACACACGCGCTTTTTGTTTTAGTTCTCGATTATTAGTGTCAGCTCGGATCGTCGCGCGCGTTGCTATTAAAGCGAGCGGGAACGTCGCGACGAAAACTTTGACAGCGGTGCGTGTACGTTTTGTTGTGATTGTTGTTGTCGTTGCAGGTTGACGATCCGAATAACATAAACATTATGGAGCCGTCAGTCATTAAGAAAGGTGAGACTTCCCATTCGAGCGTTCGCTCACGCGGCGATTATGGTAATTGATAAATGGCGCATTTGCCGACTCTAATACGTCCTTTTTGTGACATTTCGCAGACGGATAGATTGCAGCTCACAGCCAAAACGTTAATCGCCGCTCACTTCGCGTTTGCTTGTAAACATTTAATGAGCTGCACACGCCAAAAAAAAAATGATTGCACTTCGTTGTTCGATTGCTAATTTGCAGCTCGGCGCTGATTAATAGTCATTTGGGCTTGATGTAATTATTGGCGGTAATCAGGTGCGGGGAGACTGGCAGGGCGAGGAGGGGGGGGGGAGTTTTTGTCTGTAGGGGCCGGGGGGTTTGGGATTGGGGGCTGTTCGTAGAGAGGAGGAGACGGGGGGAGGATGCTGATGATGGGAAGGGGGGTGGGTGCTTTCTGGATACGGGAAAATCCGCTGGGCTTTATGGAAGGCAGCAGTGGCTAGCGGTGCCCGTAGGCAAATAACAGGCGATATACCCACCCACACACACACAACCTACTCCCACACCTCCTCCCCCAACACTCCCCCGTAGTCCCAGCCCAGCCGAGCAACCCCTTACCGCCTACCCTCCCCATCTCCCCCCTCCCCACCTCTGGTGGCCCACAACCGTAGTGATTTCTTTCTGTAAACACACAAATCTTGCGAATAAAGCGCAACGGAAGGGCCCCGTGCGCGTTCGCGTCGCCACCCCGGGACTCTGTGTGATTAGCGCCTTGCGACGTCCAGGTCGGGCAGCCTAGCGCCTCGCTCGCTCGCTCGCTCCCTCTCTCTCTCGCTCTCTGTGATGCAATAATAACTGCCCTGTTCATTAGAGCTCTCTGGAGCTCATTTGTCTCTAATTTCCTGTATTAGACCCTACTGGGCTATTAATACCGACTGCCATCGATCATCTGCGAGGACCTGGTTATACCGCGACGGGATATCCCACCCAGCCACACACACACACACCACACACACGCTACCCCGACCACGCGACTGGTCTTTTGTGAGTCACAGTCAACAGCAGCGGAGTGAAATGTGGTAGTTAAGAACGCGTGAACACACGGGATGGATGGATGGAGACTGTCCCCCACTCCAGCCCGAAACTTTCTCCCCCTCCCGTTGTATTCCTGGTCCGTTTATTATTATTATTAATAATCATTATTATTTAGGCCCCGCATCCGTGTGTTGAGTAATCCCGTGTCGAATTACGTATGCGTCGCACATGACACATAGTGATCTGATTATACGCAGTTCACAGTACACAGGCTATATTAAGATAATGCTTTGATTCCGATGCTTATTTTCCTTAACTTATAATGCTAAAAACACCGCGAGAGATCAGCTAAGAGTCAATTAATGGGCTTCTCTTGATGTTTCACCAACAAAAAAGAATAGGTTTTAATAGAAATTGGCCCTGATGGGGTTTTTTTGTTGTTTCTTATTTCCTTTGACATTATTCGCCAAAAAAAAAGTGTCTTCGTTACGGTGTCAGCATTTATCTTCGTGAATTATTTCGTGCGAGCCAATGTAAATAACTCACGCGTACTCCTCGGTATAGAGAGCCGCGTCGCGTTATGGCAGAGGGGAGAGACACGCGCACAAGATGGGCTTTTGTAACCGGAATTACCCGGCTTATCTCGGAAAGAAAATGACGTTCCATTCACGCCATGCGTGAAAAAAGAAAGACTAAAAATAAGGAAAAATAGATACGGTACACATCAACGATTGTAGCGTCGTATTAATTCAGCAATGCGATGCAAACAAAATTAACTGACCGAGTGATGTGAGTTAAGCGCTAAATCGTGTGCGAGTGATCAAATGCGGTGGTTATTCACATTTGCGGTTAATTGATTAAAATGGAATGTAACCGTTAATAGGAATATATAAAAAATGAAATAGGCTACATCATCAGGGCGATACAAGTCTATGCTGGGCACCACGGCTTAGGGTGTATTTAGGTCAGCCAGGCTGAGCGCTAAGCTGGAAGTAATACGCAGAGCATCTAGGCCCATGCAAAGATATACAACGAGTGTTATTACAATTTATGAAAAGCACACACACGCACAAAGACACACACAGAGACACTGTCTGCATATATGCGCCTTTGTGTGTCTGGCTAATTGATCGCAAACGCTCACACTCGAAAGACGCAGCAGCACCCGAACGTACGCAAAGTAACACAAACACGTGTACGTACGTACGTCCGCACAGACACACTCGTAAATGTTCGCCGTTATATCTGCATGGCCAGTTAATCACACTGCACGGACCCACTCGACAGGGTCATTATCCGCGTGCTAAGTGGAGAATTTGAAACAACTGCAACTCAATTATTAAAATCATTACAGAATTGCTGGACAATCTGCTCTCTCTCTCCGTCTCTATTATTGCAAATATATACACAAAGCCAAAGGGGCCACCCCCGCATAGCCTACACACGACGTCGGGGCAAGCGCTGGTCGGAAAAGCACCAATCTGTCTCGGGTCGGCCCGAGCGGCGCACGAGGGGGGGGGGGGGGGGGGGTGGTCTCGCGATCACCACGCTCGGCCGCCTTTAGAGGAGGCCCAGAACCTTTTCGGATAATCGAATCGTATATGTTCGTAGTGTGGTCGGCTAACCTACAAAGTGATGGCGTCGTCAATGCAGCGCTTGTGCCAGGCTAGGTTCACTCTGATTCAACTGTGTATCATCACTCCGCACGCACGTACACAAGACAAAGACCTCCCGATTAACAGACCGTTGGGGCAAGTGCTGTGAGTGAGCACGTATGAAGGCCGGCACGGCACACGAAGGAGTGGGTGGTCAGCACCACGCCCGACCGCCTTTGTCTCCCCAGTGGCGATGGTTACACATCGCACCAGGTACTCAGTTGATGCTGAGTCGGCATAGTGGAGGACCAGGAGCAATTCGGGAGCAATTCAATCGTCACAGTTGTTGACCGATTAGCAGGAATCGAACTCGGGTCTCCGGGTTCGTAGCGCAGCGCGCTAACCGTTGCACCACCGCTCCCCGCCCTCCACACACAGCCACAGACAGAGGAATAAACACTGCACATTCCTCGATAGTGGCGGCGGTTGCTCCCTCCAGCCACCCGACCACCGTGTTGTGCCCCCACCGAGAGAATATCCGAGCGAGCGAGCGAGTGAGCGAGCGACTGCACGCATTAGCGCGTTCATAAATGGAAGCGTGTCCCGGCACGGCGTGACCCAGGTTGCAGGTTCTGAATGTGGACGGCGCGTGTAATTTCCGGTAGGGTTAACGCCAAACGCTCACCAGCCTCGCCATAGCCGCCTTCTGCACCCGAGGCGAGAGGCAGCCGGGGTCCTCATTGGCCACGCTCTGCACACAGCGTCGACGAGAATTGTCTATTCCCCAGACTATGCATCAGCGTGTGTCCCCCCCCCCCCGCCGCCCCCCATCTTTCCATGGCTTTATTTATTTATATATGTTTAACAAAGGGGGGCCTTATTCTCAAAATACCCGAGATTTAACCCCCCCATCACCACCACCACCACCTCTTCTTCCATCTACTCCCCCCCCCAACGCCAGCAACCCCCTCGCTCCCAGTCCCCGATTCTCAAGTCGGCGCGTGGCGACTCACGACCAACCTGAAGCGTGTGCATTCTAAGAGACGGCATGAACCCACAATAAATAACGTAGATATATTCCGCGTTATTTATTATGGTATGATTGTTATTTAGACAATTCTGCACGTGTTTACACCATATGTGTGTCTATGTATATGCGTACGCGTGTGTGTGTGCGTGTGCGTATGTATGTGTGTGTATCCATGGATGTGTATATACTGTTGGGGCAGGTGCCGTTAGTGAGCACCTATTAAGGCCGGCACGGCACACGTGGGAATCGCTGGCCAGCACCATGCCCCAACAGTCCGTTAAGGCTATGGGGAGGGGGGCGACTTCGGCTTCATGTCTATACTCTATGTACATAAATATACTTACGGACAATCGTATAAGGATACACACATGCGGGTATGCATGTACGTATGTATTATGCATGCACGCATGTATGTTTGTATAGATATTTGCACGGAATGTTTTGCCAGTAAGACTACACTTTCGGCCCAAGACCACACACACACGCGCGCGCGCAAACGTATGTATATCAATATATGTATATAGCTTTCGCTAAAAAATAATAATAATCATAATACAGTACATGCCTAAGGGCCTTTGATGCTTCTCTCTGAATGACCAAGCCACGGCAGTGTAGGGTCTACACAGCAGCAGCAGCAGCAGAAGCGATCCATCACATGGGAATTGAGAGCAGACGGGATCTCCGCGTTTCGAGCCACACGGAGTTAGAGACGCGGTCATTTTATATTTGACACCGCTGTCACTTACACGTGTAACACCATCAGAATATATGTGTTAAATATGCCACGGCACGCACCGAGCGCTTATTTGTAAATAAATCACTAATATTGCGTTTGACATATGGTGTTACTGCTGCTGCTGTTATTGTTCTCAATAAATATATAATGGATTTTTTTTGTTTACGTTAGCTACCAAAAGAAAAACGAATTCATGTTTTGGAACAATTTAATGGTAGTGGTGTTAGATATGTTATTGTTATATGGAGGATGTCATATGTACGTATATATATAAACATGTGATACGTGCAGTCGGGTTGTCACATATACTTAATAGCAGCTGTTTATATGTTTGATATAGCGTGGCACGTTGTCACGCATTACATGAACAGAGCTCCCTCTTAATTAAAACGTAATGTCAGTTTATAGTCAGCGTGCGGTTAGTACACCTTACACTTTGCACCCAATTGAAATTCAAATTCGTCCGATGTTTCACGCTGTTGCATTACCAGAGCAAAACAAAAATAATTCCGTCGCTTTAATTCAAATCCTTCTTGCATTAAGCTATTTAATATGTCATGATAGTCTACTTCAGACGAGATAACAAGTCCATTGAGACTACGGGCAGCCCGAGTGAAAAGGTTTTTATTGCAATGGCACAACACCGTATGGTGAATCATGAACAGCAGCGGTAACACATTCTTAAATAGCCCGCCACCGTCACTGTTACAGCCCAAATGTCACCGCATGCAGACTCGAGTTTGAAGGCTATATGGCAGTCTTTAGAGCAGTGTACAAACACACACACAAAGACCTCCCGTATATCCTCAACAGATAATTTGGGGGTAAGTAATGTTAGCGAGCACCTATTAAATGGGGGGGGGGAGTAGAAAGCACCACGCCCGTCCGCCTTTGTCTCCAAAATGCTGACAATCCACACATCGCACCCAGGTATAAATTGAACGTCGACCGAGCCGAGGCGCGGAACCGATTCATGTAAAAAAAATCGCCACGGATGCTATGTCGTAGCCATGGCCTGGGATCGAACTCAGCTCGCCGGGATTTTTCGTATCACAGCTTGCTAATCGATTTAAGTATATATATATATATTTATTCACCGTGCTCAACGCGCCACCAGGATGCATGCATGCACGTACGCACGTACGCACGCACGCACACGCACGCATGCGCGCAAATATAACAGCATTGAAGCTGCTGCTGCTGCTGCTCTGTCAACGCGTTCAGCGCACGCATCCCGCACACGTGCGCACAGGGTGACGACTCTCGCCACTGCAGGGTTGTTAACACAACTTCCACTCCTACAGTGCCCTGCGCATCGCAAAGGGACAGTTGGTACCCAATTGTTTTAAGCGCCTGGGTGCAGAGCGCCGGCACCGGGGACTCGAAACCCCGACCTACCGAGTACAGCCCGGACACTCTAACCTCAAGGTCATTAGGTCGGTCCCATAAATGCATTACCATCAGACGAACACATAACGTTCTCATTGCTCCTCCCCATCACCAACACCACCACCCACCACCCCAGTAGCGCCTCGTACGGCCTACGACCTCCCTTCCCCCCACCACCTCCACCGTTTTGGAATGTTTGCGGAACTGTCCCCCAACCCCCCACCGATCATTCGTGTTGAAATCACGAGGCGCGTCCGCGTCGACATTTGCGGCGAGCATTGTTTGCAAACGGGGCTCGTTGCGCGTGCGTGCGCTACGCTACGCGACCGATAAAGGTTAACTCTGCAACATGCTGCCGAGCTTGCAAATGGAAGTAGCCGACTGCGGTGTCTTCACGGCGCGGACTCGAATTGGCTGGTTCGCGATCACAACGGCCCGCTTATAACGCGTGCGGGCCGCTTGTAACGCGTGCGGCCCGCTTGTAACGCGTGCGGCCGCGCTACTCAATTTGATTACACACAGAGATGATTGAAAAAGAAACGGGAAAAAATGCTGCATGCTATGACAACAACCCAACCGATATCGCTTGCTGCATTGTAAGTACGCTGTGTTAAATGATAGCAATAGATGAGGGTTTGTTTTACTTTACGCCAATGTGGTTATTTAGTTGTACGCTGCAACCCTAGTCACGCCACGAATCTTGGTTTAATTGCTAATGTGGCCTCGACTGAACCTTGACCAGTGGTTCTTAACCTTTACCGCAGCCTACACTCATTCGTTTCTCGATCGTAAAAAAAGTGTAATGTTAATAAATACATAGAGGGTTTGATGAAAAAACTAGCTGTACCACGTGTCCGTGCTTAATTGGTGTTTCGATGATTTACCTCCTAAAAAAATCTGGCCGTGTCTCGCACCCCCAGAAAGGGCACCACTGCTAAAGGCGATGTGGTTCAAACTCTGTACTACATTCAACAACTCTAGTATGTGTCTAGTGCATACATTTTCAGCCGATATGTTATACTATGTAGGCATAGTAAAACACATCGGCTGAACACATATCGCGAAGAACAACATTCAAACTCGACATATATATGGTACCATCTAATACGTAAAAACGACAATGCCTGAACGATTTCTGTATTCGACAACAGTGTTCCGGACAGGCATGAAGGATGAGCAAATTGAATGACTTATTCATTTCACGATAACGTTTATATCGTTCTAAATGGCTTTACTTCTCACGCTAAACACTTTGTATACATACACACATATACTTATTCTATTCATCATTAGTGAACCAAGAGATTCGTCCCACGTGGAGTGTGACGCTGAAGCCCGCATATAGCCCGCTAAGCCTCCAGTTACGCTTTCACTGGCACCCACATCGTTGCATAACTGGAAATTCGAATCTTATACCTTTCCCAGCGAGAGAACGCAATCGTTGCAACAACAACAACAACAACAAACCGAACAAACAAAACACGTTCATTTACATGGCATAGGGTACACAGAGTACATCTATATATATATACATTCCTGCGTCGAAACACCCAAAGTGTTTCATAATAAATGACTAAACTACCGTGATTGACTATGGCCACGGCTAAAGCGAACAACATTGCTGCTGCTGCTTGGTGTTGCGAACGCAGCGTCCGTGGCGTCGGGCAAACCCTACGGGGGAGTGCCCGCGGGGCTGGTGTCCAGCAAGGACGGCCTCATGAACCCCAGCATCTCCAACCCCAACGAGATCTTCTGCTCGGTGCCCGGTCGCCTCTCGCTGCTCAGCTCCACGTCCAAGTACAAAGTCACCGTGGGCGAGGTGCAGCGGCGCTTGTCTCCTCCCGAGTGCCTCAACGCGTCCCTCCTGGGCGGAGTGCTGCGCAGGTAACCCTCCTCCATCCTCCTCCTCCATCATCCTCCTCCATCATCCTCCTCCATCATCCTCCTCCATCATCCTCCTCCATCATCCTCCTCCATCATCCTCCTCCATCCTCCATCCTCCTCCTCCATCATCCTCCTCCATCATCCTCCTCCATCCTCCATCCTCCTCCTCCATCATCCTCCTCCATCATCCTCCTCCATCATCCTCCTCCATCCTCCATCCTCCTCCTCCATCATCCTCCATCATCCTCCTCCATCATCCTCCTCCATCATCCGCCTCCATCATCCTCCATCATCCTCCTCCATCATCCTCCTCCATCATCCTCCTCCATCATCCTCCATCATCCTCCTCCATCCTCCTCCTCCATCATCCTCCTCCATCATCCTCCATCATCCTCCTCCATCATCCTCCATCATCCTCCTCCATCCTCCATCCTCTATCCTCCTGCTCCTCCATCCTCCATCCTCCTCCTCCATCATCCTCCATCCTCCTCCATCATCCTCCTCCATCATCCTCCTCCATCATCCTCCTCCATCCTCCTGCTCCTCCATCCTCGATGCAGAGCAGCAGGAGCAGTATCAGCAGTGGCGGCAGCAGTAGCTCACACTTGCATCACAAACGTGACATCAATACAAATGTCGACGGCTCGGGGCTTTTTTTGTGTTACTCCCTCCCTACGTGCTTGTGTCTCTGTGTGCGTCTCTCTGTGTGTGTGCGTGCGTGCACTAACAGCACTTTCCCCAACAGTCTCTTAAGGCTATAAAGGGGATCTTTGTATTTGTCTTTATGTGTCGTTGTCTTTGAGTGTAGGGAGCGGTAGTGTAGCAAATTAGCGCGCTGAACTACAAACCCGGCGACCCGAGTTCCAATCCAAGCTCACGGTCAACACCAGTGGCGATTATCTGAACCGGTCCTGGGCCTCCCCTAGGTATACTCAGCCTCAAATGAGTACCTGGTGTGGTGTCTAAACGTCCCCACTGGGAAGACAAAGGCGGCCGGTCGCGGTGCTTGCCAACCCACCCCCTCGCGTGCCGTGCCGGCCTTCATAGGTGCTCGCTAACAGCACTTGCCCCACCAGTCTCCTAAGGCTATAAGGGGATCTTTGCATTTGTGTGTGCATTTCTGGTACATCTGCCTCCATGCCTTCACCCATCCATGGTTGATAAAAAGCTATATATTCGTTTATATATATGTGTAGAGAGAGATAGAGAAGAAGAAGGCTTTGTATGTCTCGATACTACCTTTGTAATGTACAGCTCATCCAGTGGCTGGGTGAAATCCTCCCCTTTCCGTGTGGGTTGCTTGAGCGATGATATGACTGTCAGACACTCACCTGCACCAGATCAGATGTAGCCAGAGGATGGCAGTGTTAGTGGACAGGGTTGTTCAGTCGCTGCTGGTGCTGCATTTTGAGTCGTGCCATCCCCTCGCATGCGCGGGGTTTTCTCCGGGTGATCTGCGTGTTGTATTCTGCTTCCACAAAGGAAAATGTTTCAACCAAACCTCCCAAGTAAATTGATCTTCTGAACAAAGGTATCTTAAATACCAGCTCGACCTGAGTCTTGAGGCTCAGACGAGGGCATCCCTGCGATGACATGCATGTCGACACTATTGACATCTAAATGCTCTTGTAAATGTATCAACCCGGGCTCCCGAATGAATGGGCGGGGTAGCGAAAGCCATTGCTGTTCGATACCTCACCACCTTCACCAACCCGCATAGATCAGCGTGGTGAGGTATGGTCATATAACCCCGCCGCCCCCCCCCCCCCCGCTACCCCCCCCCCCCCCCCCCACGACCGGCACAGCATGGGGGACTCCCTGACCCAGCAGCGGATTGACAGAAGGGCCTGCAAACGTACGAGTCCTTGCCTCGCCATGCACGTGCACGCTGAGTATGAGCCTCTCGTGCGTGGCGTACGTGCACGCTGAGTATGAGCCTCTCGTGCATGGCGCACGTGCATGCTCAGTATGAGCCTCTCGTGCGTGGTCCACGTGCACGCTGAGTATGAGCCTCTCGTGCGTGGTCACGTGCACGCTGAGTATGAGCCTCTCGTGCGTGGTCACGTGCACGCTGAGTATGAGCCTCTCGTGCATGGCGCACGTGCACGCTGAGTATGAGCCTCTCGTGCATGGCGAGGCAAGGAGAGTGCACTCCTTGCTTGTGCGAGCTGCAGGAGGTTTGTACATCGAGTGCTGACTTGAACTCAATGGTTTGTTTAACGAACATGTAATCACTTTGACCTTCCGGTGTCTCCCCTTAAAAAAAAGAATAATCACGTTGATTGGACACTGATCAGACACAAAGATCCCCCGTATAGCCTTAACAGACTGTTGGGGCAAGTGCTGTTAGCGAGCACCTATAAAGGCCGGCATGGCACACGAGGGGGTGGGTGGCCAACACCACGCCCAGCCGCCTTTGTCTCCCTAGTTACGATGTTCACACATCGCACCAGGTACTCATTTGAGGCTGAGTCGACCTAGGGGATGCCCAGGACCTGTTAATATAATCATCACTGGTGTTTTCCGTGAGCCGGAATCGAACCCGGGTTGCCAGGTTCATAGCGCAGCGCACTAACCACTCCACTATCGCTCCCCACTAATGATCAGGTACACAACTCTATCCACAAACATCTCGGCCCCATAATTTACCTGGGGTGCTCATGCCAATAATAGCAAACCACAGTGTTATTTGTTTAGCAAGCCTGACTCTGCCGATGAGACCCAGGTGGTCCGAACATATTGGTTCGGAAAGTCATGCATATCGGCCGATGGACTACAACAACACGGCGTTTTATTTACGATTGGAGGCGCAGAACTGCATATCGAATACGTTTCATCTTAGCCAGGGTAGCAGCTATTTGGTCACGTGTGCTCTTGGGTTCTTCTGCGTTGCTGCGGCACCGCCGACCACGCATGCCGTGTATTTTAAAAACAAACCACACACACACACAGAGACTCTTAGCACAACAGTGTGAGCACTCTCTTAATTGCGAGTCTTTTATCCGTTATTGTCATCACGCTCATATACGCTGCATTATTTATAGGCGGGGGTGGGGGGGGGGTGTGCACAGTGGAACTATTGTTCAAGCCTATACTGTATACCTTTTTTATTTATGGAAACCACCTGTCCCATGATGACAAATTTACTTCGCTGAAACTGGATCGTTGTGCGAGTGTGTGTGTGTGTGCCGGTGTTTGAAAGAGTGCGCTTGGGTTGCATAAACACATTTTCTGCCGCGCTACATAGAGAACACCCTGAACAACCGGTAACAAACGAGACGTTTACAAATGCCTTATTGTTGTTCGCTTGTTGGGCCCGCTTAAATACTTGTATAATGTATAACGTTGTCACAAGACCAAAAAAAAACACCTTAATGTGTTCACCATTCTTGCAAAAAAAGGGGGCATGTTTATTTGTACCGCAATTAAAAATGTTCGTGCACATAAATCCCACAGCCATAGAGGGAGTGACTTTAAAGTACTCTGCATAGCCCATTGCATTCACGTTCAAATCCAGAGTTGATACATATATATGTGTGGTACATATAGAACAGTATCGTAACGCGTCTTCTTAATAGTGATGATGGCGTGCAAATTGACTTGTGGGAAACATAATGGGGCACGCAATGTGTACACATGGTTCATTTTAGATTATCGTTCAAGTAGCGCCTAACATCGCTCCAGCAGCTATTTTGTTATTGATATTTGCGGGGGGGGGGGGGTGGGGGGCGGTGGCGGTGTCGGTGTCGCTGTGGTTTGCACACTGCGATACCAACACGTTTCCAACCGAGTTCAATTCTCGACCACGGCTTTCGTCAGCGACGACGACGAGTTATAGCCGAACCGATCCTAGGCATGACTCTTCATCAATACCGCTACTGACCAGGGTAGTGAAGTATGGTCAAACAACCTCCACGCATGGCACGGCGTGGATACGTCTTTGCCTGGTAGTGTATTGGCAGGGACTGTAATTACCTAGTAACAGTAGTTGTAGACTGTCAGCGCAGAAATGTGTAGCGCGGCTGAAGTTAAACCAACATTGATCGGGAACCGGACCAGATGCAACCCTTACTTGTGTATTGACAAAGGGCCGTAAATCAAGTGATACTAATACATGCTATTGTTGTTATTCTAACATTAAACATGCAACTTGATGACAGCCCCTTTTAGAAGTCGCGTAGTGCAGGTGTTTTAGTGTCATCGGAAGGCCTGGACAGCTCTCTCGCGTATTTGCGTGCGCGCGTGTGCTGCTGTTGTTGTATCTGGAGCAGGCGAGCAGACGCAAGCACGCACAGCAAGGCAGTGCAATTTCCAAATCTTTACCTTCCATCGAAGCCAGTGTCTCATTTAACACGCACAACACACACACCACCGCACAGACAAACACGGGCAACACGCGCAATTGCCCAGCGTAAATAGCGAGGCGAGGAACGCGCTCGCGTGACGAATCTCATTTCAGTTGCAATATGCAATGAGAGCGGCGGGTTTATCCGTGATGGTAACAAACCTCGCCTCGTGATTCTCTGGTCGCGTCAGCGTCACCTCGGCTTCACCATACAGGCGGAGGGCGCCTCCGACACCAAAACTTCGCTCTATCGTCATCGTCGGTTGCATTTAACGAATTTATTTTGTGTTGGGCGGATAGGGGGAGCAGGGCACCTCTGACGTTCAGTAATTGACCTGCGCGTTTAGCTTTTCGGGCAATTTAGTAGTTGAGCGAGTAATTCTAAAATAGCACGCAACGTAGGGGCTATCGTTTGCAGGCCACGTGCAGTGTAGATATTGAAGAGTGGGCGGTATTGTATGGCGCTTAACAGCAATCGGAGAAGTGAAATAGGCCGTATAATTTGATGTATTAAAAGCACTTAAGATGGCTTGAATTCAAATGTGTGTGTGTATATATATAGCGCGTGTGCTCTTTCATTCTCCCGCGTCCTTGAGCATACGTCAAGCGCATTGTGTTTGTCGCTCGTGTTTAATCTGTCACTATAACGAAATGCACTTCGTAAAATTGCTTCTTGCATAAAATGCCACCGTAAGCCGTAGATACACAGCGCTGAGAATGATGCATCTGCACACGCGTTGACAAATGTCTTTCTGTTTAGAGAAATTGCTTTTTTATTTTCTAACACGACCCAGCGATAGCCCGTACGTGTCTCCGCACGTACGCATATTTCATCTCGCTCGACGCAAACGCGATATTTAAGGAGCACGAGCATAGTGAAGACCACATGTTATATACTATTACGTAAGAGTTAGGTGTCTGCATGCATAATTATGCTCCCACTGTGTATTATAGATTGAAGAATTCGTGATGACATCAGGCCATGCAAAGCGTGCTGACATTCCCGGTATATATTTTGTTGTTTAGCAGACACATTTTTTTCCACGCACATCTTCCATCATTATCATCATCATAATCGCCGTCGTCATCATCGCCGTTGTCATCATCATCATCGCCGTCGTCATCATGAGCTATGACCAATCAAAATCCACTGCGGGATTAAGGCCTCCCCGAGGCGGCACCATCTCTCGCGATCCTGGATGATAATGAATAATCCTAAAAAAAGTCTGCGCGCCTCCATTGCCCCATCTCCGGCGGTGATTGGACGTCCTCGATCCCCCCCCCTCCCTCCCGCCTTTGCCTTCCACTCCGTCATTATACTCGGCCACTGGTCGCACCATCGAGTCACTCGAGATAATTTAATTACCTATACCTCTTCCGTGCGCACGCGTTATGAACTAAAAACTAAACATGTTTATTTTATTTTACCAGGTGAGGCCCATTATATATATTGGGTTAGATCACGTCGTAAAACCCGCCACCCGACACAGCCAATTAGCAAGGGGTTGTCATGTAATCAAAACGTGCCAATTCGTTACTAGCACAGCACACCGGTGTGTTGGAGAGCACTGAGCCCACTGGGCTATGTAGCTCAGAAGCGACCTGTCCACAAATTATAGCTAGTCGAAGTGGGCCTTACCAAAGATAAATGTAGAGCAGCCAAACACTCTCAATGTGCAGGGAAAACCGGAGGACCCGGAGACAAAATCCATGCGACCACAGGGAGAACATGCAAACCATAAATATACAGGCGTCAGGGTTGGGATCGAACCCACGACCTTCTGTATACCAGGCGAGGTAGTTAACATCTCGACACCGTGACGCCCTCATCTTTGCCAAATGCCACCGACACCCCACACCCACCTGCCTCCCCTCCCCCCCAATAACCGTCGACGATTTGGAGATGCACGCGGTTCGTTTGTAAAGTGGCACCTGCCGCTCACTCATTGGCTGAGCAGCTCATGGCGTAACTAGTGGGGGGAAGTTTGTGGTGGTGGGGGGGGGGGGGGAGACATTTGGTCACGAGATACCGTAATTGCAGATCAGCGCGCGGGTGCGCGAGCGCCACGTGGCCGCGCGATCGATGTTCGCATCAAGTGCGTGGTGATTGCCACGTGCGCTGGCGGTAATACAACGGCTCCCCCCCCCCACGTTAAATGACTTTCCGAGCGTCTCCTTGATGTGGCGGTAGCGGCGGCGGCGGCAGTGACAAGGCGTCTCGCTTCTACGCGCGGCGAGAAACGGCGATTTCGTCAGACCTCGCCGATCAACGCCGACGGAATGAAATAAGAGGTCGCGACAACCGTAAATGAAATTACGGTCAACGTGGCTGTGTGATTCAGCGTGTTTTTATTTATTTTCTACCTGTGCATGGCTTCGTTGGAACGATGCGACAGGCGATCACTTCGAAGGCACACACTCAGAATACATGCGGTGGATACATTGGTGCAGTATAACATACATCATCTCTGTTCCCCTGACAGCGTGGATAAAACGCTGTAAAAGTTGCCTACATATCCCTACGCTTACAGTCTATGATATTATTAACAGGTGTATGCCACCACTTGTCAATCCACTGCTGGAAGAAGGCCTCCCGATACCGTGTGGGTCGTGAAGAGTTGTTTTGACCATACTTCACCACTCCGGTTCGGCTTTCTTGAAGTGGGGAGTATCGATACAGATATCACTCGCTATTGGTGTTCACAGTGAACTCGTGTGGCCATTGTCGTGTCGCTAACCGTTCGCACCCGCCACTATGCGTCTGGCAGTGTCAGTCTACATCGCAATGTTAACTGCGGAGTCGGTGTGGTACCGATGATCGCGTGCGGCAGGGTAAATGGGTTGGCAACGCTCATTTCCCTTACCCGACAGCTGGACGCAGAGGTACTTAAATAATCAATGGCCATGCAGAAGGGGTGATCGATGTTCCCTAGTTTGCCCTCTCTGCGTAGTCTCACCGCTTCAGGGATGTGTTGTGCATGATTATGATGAGGTCGCACTCATTATACACACACACACACAATATTGCTTGTCACAAATTAACCACAATACCTTGCTGGTCTCGTCAAGGAGCATGCATCATCATGCGAGCTCCGATCATTCTCGCAGCGGCGTTTGGCTATAGCCATTAAATAAATACGGCCACTGCATCGCGCGCTTTCAGATGCGCTTCTGTGGCTGTCTGGAACGCTCTTCCGATATGAGGAAGCCACTGGAGCTATGCACTCACGCACCTCCGATTAGCACGGTTGGCCGCGTAGGGTGCGAAAGAAGTTCAACGTGCATACGAGTGTAAACATTCTGAACTCCTTAGCGGTAGCATTGCCTGTCCAAGTGACCAGCCATCATACGGACACCAATGAGTCTACGAGGCAGACATCCCTGTAGACCAGAGACCACGCTTCTGTCTCTACAGCTCACAATGCTCGTCACCCGCTGTGCTTCCCGCCGTACACAAGTCTCTCTGTCACACGCGCACGCGCGCGGAGTAACGCGTGTTCTGAAACGCTCTTCCATTAAAGAGGGGAAAAAAATAGCCGTTTTGCTCGACCAAGTGCTTATATCGTTAGTATATATTTAAGCTGACACCAATGATTCGCTTTCTCCACAATTGCTATAATTACTTTGTCTGTGTTTGAAATTAAAATCCCAAGTTGAACGTGACAGCGTTCCATGCAATTAGCTTTATGCGCCGGCCACAGTGCCACATAAAATCGGGCACAATCTTGCGCGCTTACACAGTCGCTTACACACACACACACACGGTCGCAGATGTAATGCCTTCTGGGCCACGTGTGGTAATGTGGGCCTATGGGCGACCCGAGTTCGATTCCCGCTCACTGTCAACACCAGTGGCAATAATCTGAACCAGTCCTGGACCTCCCCGTAGGTCGACTCAGCCTCGAATGAGTACCTGGTGCTGTATGTAAACATCACCACTAGGGAGACAAAGGCGGCCGGGCGTGGTGCTTGACCACTACGCCCTCTTGTGCGGCGTTTTCTGCCCCAACAGCATCTGTAAGGGCTAGACGGGGGATCTTTACCTTTGTATTTGTACACGGAGTGGCGCGATGCTTAGCGCACTGTGTTATACAACTCCGGCCACCTGAGTTCAATTCAGAGCCGGGGCTGACATTGATAGCGAGTGATATCTGGGCCAGACAGTCCTTGTGGCCCCTCTCTTCAACCACTTCCACCCACCAGCTTGTTGAAGTATGGTCAATCAACGCTCGTGACCGACACGTTGTCCTGACAAAGGGCTGACCCAATGTTATGAAAAACTGTCAGCGTGGGAATAGCTAACGTCGCTCCCAGAGTTAGAGATTTCGGGCTGCGAGTGATATCTGAACCGATGTTCAACATTTCCCTAAGGTCGACTCAGTCTTAAATGTTTTAAAGATCAGCAGGGTGTGTGGGGGTGGGGGCTGGAACTTGGTGCTGTCCCCACGACCCCGTGCGCTCTGTCTGCCTTAAAGATACTCACGGCACTTGTCCCAATAGTATGTTCAAGGCAGTGGTGAATTTTGTATTAGGGCTGAACGATTAATCGATTTCAAATCGCAATATCGGTCAGAAAAATCGCAATGAGATATTTTCCCCAAATCGTTCAGCCCCACTTTGTATTATGTTGTGTCTGTGCTTATATACAGTCTAGATGTGGTGAGCGGTACTGTAGTAGCGGTTAGCACTCTGCGCTACGAACCTGGCGACCCTGGTTCGATTCCCGCTTACGGCCAACACCGGTGACGATTATCTCAACCGGACCTGGGCCTCTCCTGGTGCGATGTGTAAAATCATCACCACTCGGGAGACAAAGGCGGCTGGGCGTGGTGTTGGCCAAGAGCACTTTCCCCAACAGCCTATTCAGGCTACACGGGGGGATCGTTGTTACATACATCGTGCTGTCTCTGTTCTCACGACATTCTTCAAAAACACTGCCTTCAAATAAAACAAAAAAAACTCCTTCATATGCAATAGACGACGTTTCGGGCAATGGTCCTTCATTAACAGAGTAAATAATTACACGAACCGTCTTCTTCTGTATATGCTTACCTTTTAGGGCAGTGTTTATGGCCGAATGCGTTTGCGCTCGTTTGTGTTACTTGCTTTGAAACCTGCGCACCACGACCCCAATTGCAAGCGGCCACAAACAAACCGTGTTGTGTGTGCGCGTGCGTGTGTGCGCGTGCGTGTGTGCGCGTGCGTGTGCGCGCGCGTGTGTGTGTGTGCGTGTGTGCGTGTGCATGTGTGTGTGTGCGTGTGTGTGCGTGTGTGTGTGTGGTGGTGTGTCGCTGTTGCTGTTCTCAACAGGGCAAAGTCGAAGAACGGCGGAAGATCGTTACGGGAAAAATTGGACAAAATCGGTCTGAATCTGCCGGCGGGGCGACGCAAGGCCGCCAACGTCACTTTGCTCACCTCCTTGGTGGAGGGTAAGAAGATGACGGCCGAAAAATCCGCGTCTCAATTACCGCGTCACTTTGGCGTGGCTTCCGCCTCTCTCCCCTCTCTTTCCCCCCTCTCAATCTTTCTTTGCTCCACTTTATAAACCTTCCCTTACCGGGGCGATTTGATGGAAAGTCAAACCAGTAATCAGTTTCACGTCTCATTACACTCGGATAATTAGCGTCTATACCCCTTAGCAAACTCTCCCTGGTGTTTCTCTCTCTCCCTCCTCCTTCTTCAAGTGACTTAAAAGCCGCGCGCAATAGAAGCCAGTGCTTAAACAATTGCTGCAGCGTCTCTAAATTAGCGTCTCTTGCTCACCTTTTTGTGTGGCGGTGGGGTGGGGGCTGGGGGGGGGGGCCGAGCCGAGAGGAGGAGGAGGAGGAGGGGGGTAAAGGCAGCGCCTTGCCAGTGAGAAGCTCTCCCTCCCGACTCAGACGAGGCTCTTTTGTCGAACAGCGCCAACACGTTCGCGTCGCGCAGTCGGCACAGGGACGCTTCCGCGCTGGTTGGGTTGTTGCTCTCGGTGCATAGACAACAACAGCACTCTGAGACTTTCCACTGCTGCCGAGACGTTTACCATTCGTTAACTGCCCCCCATTCAACCTCCCGGCGTGCCATTTTTCTTTTTGATTTCCACCCCCTCCCCACCACCCCTCCCCCCACTCCCACCCCTCCTGGTCGCGTGTGGTAGGGTAAAGTGTGGGTACCCACCCCCCCCCAGCAGGGGCATGAGCGAGAAATTGCAGGGCTGCGTCTTTACGTTTAACAGTCGGAGCACATGTGGAAGCAACCTTGAAGCCTATTTTACACGTGTTCTCAGCCCTTACATGTTTGACCGTGACCCCTTCAATACATTGCATATGAGCTTAGGGCGCTTATAGCGTCGCCAGATTATTTCCCTAAATGAATCGACTTCCGTTCCGTGTCCCCGCTGTCAAACGAATTAGTTTGTTTTTAAGTCCATCGGCTTATCGGCCTCCTGAACTTCTGTTAAACAGCGTCAGTTGTTTAAGCAAAGCAACTCTGCACCGGTTTCGACCTGGTGGGTCTCATCGGCAATTCATGCTAGCTTTAAACTAATCCTGCGTGAGTTTGACCACGTCGCATTTTATTGTTGAGATCACTTCCCTTCCAGGCGATGGAGACCTGCCAATGCATGTACTGAAATGCCTACTCTGTAGCGTCCCGATTGAATTTGTTACATAAGTTCTGCCTGTGTGCTTAATGAGCAGCTCATACGGACTACAATGTGGAGTTTATAATTGCCACACGATGCTGTAATCTAACAGAATCGAATGTTACATTTTTTTGGGTCACAATTGATAAGCGAAATTAAAAGTCTCCGCACCGTTATTGTATTAATGTGATGTATCGTAAAAACAGGGAAAAAGTTAATTTAAATTTGCACTCGCTTGTTAAACGAGCATTTCTTTCGTGTAATATAAAGGAATGGTGTTATTACATTTAGCGCCGAGGTCGTTAGGGTTTTGTTCACTCCCAACAATAGATTACCAGAGCGATTCACAGCACAACAAGGCAGCAGGCATTCCCCGTCCCATATCGTGGGTCCTTTTTAATATAACCCAAAGAAATGCATCCTCATTAAAACATAAAGCAAAAATAATAAAACATTATTTGTTCATTACGTCTCGTTAAGCCTAACGAGAATTCTCTCCGCGTAAATAGATTTCGCCTAATCACTTCGTTTGCCCACGTAAAATATTACATTCATTACCCGATGTCTAATTACGAGCACGGAGTGCCCATTTCCTACCCGGTTAAAAACGCCGCGTCGCCCCAATGAACGATATTTGGGCTGCGGCGGTGGCAGCCTCAAATGCCGTGTGTTTTGTGCCTCGTGGAAACGTCCGAATCCCATTCTATCCCGCACATGCTGCAGTCGAGCGCCTCAGCCGTGAGCGCCTTCTATGTCACGCCTTTTAAAACCGCCGCCTTCAGATTAAAATCCACATTCCGCAGCAGCGGCGGTAGCGGCGAGAGTGGAAGCGTTCACGATTTGCTACCTACGAGCACCAGTGCTCGCATATATATATAGTGCAACAAATAGAGCACAACGATTCGTAAAAAGATCGAGTCACCTTATACTGCGCACGTGCAAAAAGTTTAAAAATCCTCTTAAGCCAACACAGCATCAAAGAGGAAATGACGAATCCTTTGTATGTCACGCTGACCCCCATCATCGTTAGCACGGTTGCCCACGTACGGTGCGAAAGAAGTTCCGACGTACATCTTTGCGAATATTTCGCCGCACAGTCCTCTGCGTAGCCGCTCAGCTCAAAACGACGGAGATGGCGGACCTGAGTTCATGAATGTGTGCAACAGGAGGACAAGAAGAGGGCACCCCGTTTGGTAATTCTAACAACAACAAATCGCATTCGCATGCTCCACTAGGAGGGGGTGGGGGAGGGTGGGAGAAGGAATCACCCAACCTCGAAGACCGCACGCAAACATTTTGGGATGGAGACTCGCGTGCACATTTCCGACACATCGCATGCATCACGCACGTATTTTGCACAATCCAGAGGAGACGGGTCTGCACGGGCAGATGCGTATATCGATTGTCTTAGCATGAACATGAATGAGACCTGATTGCTCAGAACGGGCAGCCTGCACATAGGAGCCTGTCTCGAAGTGGCATCCTGTCAAAAGGCACTATGTGACCAAGCATGACGATGTTTGTGCGCGCGCGTGCGGGCTCGCACACGTGTCTAGAGCGCACTGGACCGGTTATGGGCCTCCCCTAGCTCGACTCAGCCTCAAATGAGTAACCGGTTGATGCGGTGTGGGAGCATCAATGCAGAGTGTTGAGAGGTCAAAGGTGGCCCCGTTCGGGCCTTAATAGGCGCTCGCCAACAGCGCTTGTTTCAACAGTCTGTGAAAGGCTACATGGGGGGATCGTTGTGCCTGTCTGTCCGTCTGTCTGTGTACGCGTGTGTGTTTTTTTATTCTCGAGCAGGAGAAGCGGTGCACCTCGCCCGGGATTTTGGATTTGTTTGCGAGACAGAATTCCCCGCTAAGGCCGCGGCGGACTTTCTAAATCGCCAGCACTCGGACCCAGGAGACCTGCACAGTCGCAAGAACATGCTCCTGGCCACAAAGTAGGTCCCCCCGCTGCACGCTGGCTTTCAAAGTGTGACGTCTACAGGGCCACATTGGCGTTCTCTCGTAGGACGGATATGTGTGTGTGTGTGCGCGCTGGTTGGTTGGCATGGGGAGCGGTGGTGCAACGGTTAGCGTGCTGCACTAGGTCAACTCAACCACAAATGAGTAGCTGGTGCGATGTGTGAACATCGCCACTGGGGAGACAACAGCGGCAGGGCGTGGTGTTGGCCCTTGTGTGCCGTGACAGCCTTCGGAGTTGCTAGCTAACAGCACTTGCCCCAACACTTTCTTAAGGCTATACGGGGGATCTTTGTCTTTGGTTGGTGGCAGGCGCTCGTGCAGTGGTTAGTGCACTGCCCTGATGATTCCAGCCAACCCGAGCTCGATTCCCAACCACGTCCAACATCGGTGTTGAGCTATATCTGAATCCGGTCATGGACCTCCCCTAGGTCGGCTCAGTCTGGAATCAGTACCTGGGGCGGTGTGTAACACGCCAGTAGAGTACCGTGGAGGTTAAAGCGAACGAGCTTGGGTTACCGGTCACACCACCCAGCCGTGCGTAGTCAAGACCTTACTCCACTGCTGGATGAAGGTCTCCCCGAAGTGTCGCCCATCTCTCAGTGATCTTGCGATGTAATTCTGGCCTCGACGGGTGCTCGCTAAGAGCACGTGGCACCACAAGGGCACCTTGGTCTTTGTGCGCGCACGAGGCTCAATCCACACGCGCGCAGGTGAGAAGTCGTTACGCGTCCACTTGCCGAAAACTGCTCGACCGGTGTAAGTCCAATGGCAACGTAAACAACATCATCATCTTCTTAGTTTTTTCGGTAAAGTCACGTTGAAGGGAAACAACAAAATAATAAAAAATATATAAAACAATAAAAAAATTCTCACGACGTTTCGACCATAACTCAAACGGTCGTCTTCAGGTGTGTTGGTTTGCATAAATTTATTTCTAAACGGCGCATTTATTTATTTATAAAAAAAAAAACTTGTTTTATAAGTAAATAAATATGAATTACTGCAGTCACGAAAGCTTTAAATCAAAACATCATCATCGTCGTTGGATGTACAGGGTGCTTCGAATGTCTTGTAACCCCCCCCCCCCCCCCCCCCCCCATTTAATTGTCCAAAACTATTTTTCTTAAGGTATATTTAAAACAGAAATGCATATGCAAAGGGGGAAAAATGTTAGAGTTCAAATTAATTGTGGGTCACCAGACGTGTGGACCACCCTGTACAGCAATGCCCCGGTTTACGTTGGGGGGCAGTGGGGGGTGGATTGCGTTTCTGAAAGTGCGGCGACGTATATCGAAACGACGCCAAATCGAAGCGATTTACAGGGTCAGTGGTAGTAGTGGGTTGTGTGTGGGTGGTGTGTGGGTGGTGTGTGGGTGGTGAGTGGGTGGTGTGTGGGTGGTGTGTGGGTGGTGTGTGGGTGGTGAGTGGGTGGTGTGTGGGTGGTGTATGGGTGGTGTGTGGGTGGTGGGTGGGTGGTGAGTGGGTGGTGTGTGGGTGGTGTGTGGGTGGTGTGTGGGTGGTGTGTGGGTGGTGAGTGGGTGGTGTGTGGGTGGTGTATGGGTGGTGTGTGGGTGGTGAGTGGGTGGTGTGTGGGTGGTGAGTGGGTGGTGAGTGGGTGGTGTGTGGGTGGTGGTGGTGGTGGAGACGAAGGCTGAGAGGCGAGGGATAGCGAGAAAAGACAAACGATGCCAGCGATGATGGCAGTGTGTGGGGTTGATGCGACGCAAATTGGTTAGCGGGACTCATAAAGCGACGGCGTATTTGAGAAACTACGGCAAAGGGGGAGGACGTAAGTCGGGGTATTGCTCTACGTGCTCGCACCACGGATTGTGCACGGTTGGCTACGTATGGTGCGAAAGAAGTCCAACATGTACGTATGTACAAGTGCAAACCGATGTGGTTCCATTCCACCGTTGACGAAGGAAGCAATCTGTGACCGCTTGTTCGTGGTGTACTGCACGATGTGCGGTGGCGAGAAGGGCGCTAGGAGATGTTAACTCCCTCGCCTTTTATGCAGGAGGTCGTGGGTTCGATCCCGACCCTAACGACGCCTGTTTATTTGGAGTTTGTATATGCTCTCTGCCCGTGGTCGTGTGGATTTTTCACCGGGCACTCTGGTTTTTCCCTCCACATTTAGAATCAACATGCGCTCAGGGTATTTGTCTGCTATATAAATTTCCGCGTGATGATAAACCACCTTGTTGGGCTACCAGTTGTGGCCAGGTCGCTTCTGATAAAGAGCTATGTAGCTCGGTGGGCCTTACCTGGTAAAATAAAAAACAATGTTTATCGTTCAGTCGCATGTGTTTCGGCGAGTTTGTCGTGAGGAGGAATGCCCCTCGGGACATGTCCTGGGACGTGCTCATCAATGCTCGCCATCTGCAACGCTGGCGTTACGGATTTCGAAATGCGCTCCCGATGGTTCATCATCTAACAACGCAGGCTTTAGCGACCAATGTTGGTCATGATAAGGCTTTTTTTTTAGGGGGGGGGGGGGGGGTAACGTCACGTAAATGTAAATGTGCTGTACGCCCACCTCCATCCGACACGGCCAATTAGTCAGGTTTGTCACGTGAACGGAACATACCAAACATGCCTGATGATGCTGGTTGTTGTGATCACCAACAAAACGTCGCACTCAATTACAAATGTTGTTGGTTTTGCTCTCCAACACACCGGTGGTGCTAAAGTAGTAAATAATTGGCACATTCTGTTCACGTGACAAACATTATTAATTGGATGTGTCGTGTGGAAGTGGGTGTTCGAAACTGTTACATTTTTTGACCTAACCCAAAACAACGTTGTCATGAGTACACACCATCTGTTTGCCAGCGCCAGTTGCCCCTTCTCTTTACAATGGACGGTAAAGGCGCAGCTCTGCAAATGCCTGCTCACGAGGGTGTTTGGCCTACTCTTCCACGCTGGTGAGACGTCTTGGAAGAGGTGGGAGTACCCATACCCTACCCCACGACACGTGACCTGCTGATCGGCTCACTCCATTGGCAATCACCATGCAACCTTTTTTTTAAATACGGAAAAGTCTCCATGAGTTTCAAGTCTCAATGTCACGTTGGGGAGTTTGTCCAAATCCTAGTTTGGTGAGTGTTCTGCGTGTGGGGAGAAACCGAAGTCGCTGTCATCATGATCATCATTAGTAGTAGCCAAGGTCAACCCACTTATGTAAGAAGGCCTCATCAATCCGCGATATAATAACCAACCTAGCACCTGCACACGAGATGACTTCATCGCTCCACCTTATTGATGGACGTCCTCTTAGACGCAGTTGCGTTCATTCGCTGACAGCCCGTCATCGTTCTTGACCATCTGCCATAATTCCTTGCGGCGACCGAAGCACCCGGCCAACACCCACCGAACGCACGAATGGATGACGCTGCCAACGTCCGCACAGACGGGCGAAAAAACATATTTCTCTCGCCACTGCCAGCCACATCCTGGCTACCTTCGCAGCCCAATCTCTGCGCGATTCACCAACCCCCTTGGCACCAAAGCGCCCCGTCAAGCGAGTAAGGGCGCGGGGGGTGGGGAGGGAAGGCCGCTTCATCCGAAGTACGAGTCGCAAACGGTTCAAATTAAGAGCAGCGTCGTTCCTTGTCCAGAGGAGACGTGCTTCTCTTTATTGTTGTTGTTATGACAGCAAATGGATCGTGACAGAGGCGGCATTGATTGGACCTCACGTTGCGTCGCTCTCATCACCCATCCCCCTCGAGACAGGGCCTCCCCTTTTGTGCTGCGAGAGCCGGCGCTGACTGATGGCGCTGCTCATTATGCGCGTCCCAGTGCGCGGTGGTGATGAAACGATCATTCACGTCGGCGCGGACGCCAATCGCGCGCAACTCCAGCGGCGGCGCTTCAACGCGGCGCGATCGCGCGGGCATCTGTCAGCGGCGTGCGTCGTGCGCGGTTGATGAGCAAGAGTCGTAAGTCGTCGTCGACTTACGTCTGCGTGTCCAGCCTTCAGGATATCGCCACCTCACGCTTAATGCGTCGAGTAGAAGCGCGGTGGTTGCGTTATTGGAGCCGTCCAATACCCGAGTTCGATTTGATTCCCTCCCCCTCCCCCCCCGGTGCCCACGGTTAACGCGAGCGCCGAGCGAGGCACGGATCGGTTCTGCCCAGCACCAACCCATCCTCACCGTCCCGCACTAGAATCGGCTGGGTGAAATATCGCCGAACGAGAACCCTCGTGACTGACACGGCATGGGGGAGAAGGTTTTTTTTTTTACGTAGCAGTGGATTGACAGGGGGCTGCATGCATCTTCATATTGAACACATCAATCGGTATTTATTTTTTGCTTCAGTGCAATGCTTGACTGTGATTTTACATGAAGACTGTGTTGCATGGCGTCTAAGCACTAAGCAGTAGTAAACGGCCATCCATTTAGTACGTACGCATGGAGGGAGGAGGCGGGGTTAACCCTAATGCGTTCGCTTGTGTATGGGGGGGGGGGGGTCTACTGACAATATACGCATGGGAAATGGCGAGGGGGGGTGAAGCCTCGATAATAATTTGTCTACATTGGCCTTCAAATTAGTTATATAGACCGGCGGTGGACTATCTGTTTGCTTAAACACGTTAATATTATTATGTTTTGATCGTTTCTGCGTGGATTAAATATCGGCCGTTCTATAGGATTCGGGGAGGGGGTGGGGGCGTCAGGCGTACGTACGCAGGTGGGAGGGGTGTAAAAAGTACGCGTGCGTACAGGGAGGGGGGAAAGGGATCAAGTTTTGACAGATTTTTGCGTTCGTGCTAAATGGATGGCCCCTAATGCCATGCAGTGACAAAGCAAATTGCTTCTGCCACGATCCCAATTGATCTAGGAACAATGCGCCGTTGTTTGCATGTCGAACTTCTTTCGCACCGTACGTAGCCAACGGTGCTCATCGGAGGTGCTGGCGAAGGAAAGCAAAACGAAACTACGAAACGTTGTTCTAAAAAAAAAAATAGTTCATTGTTTTCCTTCTCCCTCATCTCCGATTAGGGCGGTTGGCTACGTAGGGTGCGAAAGCAGTCCGACGCACATAGATGCATACGGATAGGGGCGCGGTTCGGGATAGAGCGAACACCGTTGTTCAGAGCAGGAGCGTAGTTGGTTGGCACGAGCCTGGCACGAGGATTCATGTCGTGCCTCGTGTTCGTCTCCCCGTCGTACGCGTCCTTTCGGGAGCAGTTGCAGCGCCTGCGCACTCGACGACAGCCACGTGCACGGGGGCATTGGGCTCACAGCGGCGACGCGAAGGGATTTGCGACAATTCCGCACAGTTGGCGTTTGAGGAGCGCGCCAGTTGCGAGGTTAATTAAAGCGGCCACCTCGGCGCACGTGGCAATCCGGCGTTCGAGTGGAGCCGTTAATTGGCAATTGCGGCTCAGAGTCGTTGTTGATCTGTCGACCGCCTCAATGCGAAGGTCACGCAATGAGGCGACCGATGAAGAGCGATCGAAACGTCTTGAGAATTGGATAATAATAATAATAATAAAAAATAGGTATATAGGTATCTACGTAAATGTAAGGTTCACGTCTAAGCACATTGTTAATACGTGAATGTTTTTTTTTATAAGAAAAAATTGGTAATTTAATTGTAAGGTTTTATTTTAGGCAGTCTGCTGTGTTGGCGGTGGTGCACACGCGAACAATAACACAAACTCGACAGCGGCCCATTCTTCATAGCTGCTGGAGAAGGGAGCATTGCCCGAAACGTCCGTCCGTGATGTTTCCCATTAGGGGAGGGGTGTATTGACGAATGTATCGAGTTACCGTAAAGATAAATGAGTATCGATTATAGTGATAAAAACAAAACACACGGTCTGCGTTATTTTAAACTTACGGAAATTAAAAGAAACAATAACCGCCACGTGTGTTTACCTGTACGATTTGTCTACAGTAAAATGATATGTATATATTTTCAAATTCCTTAAGTAATTACAGTTTATATGCGGCATTACACGGGTCATTGCATGCGGCGCTTTGCCTTCTCTTGAATCCAGCTCAATAAAAACCAATGACACGGTTGCGCGTTCGAGGGAGTCTATATAAAGTCCATTCACGTTTCAGTCATTTGGACCCCCCCCCCCCCGCACTATAATATTGCAGAGCAAAGTACAACAAAAATAGTGCTCCGGTGCTTAAATGTTTTCAATTAAAAGATGTCCTGAGTGTAATAACGCGTCTGCCCGCACGTGCGTTGTTAAGTGGATGGTCCCGCAGGAACGCGTTGTAGACTGCATTAGACGGACTGCTTGTAGACCGCGTGTAGACTGTATTGTATGGTGATGCTTGCTACTGTTGCTTAACTACTTGCCCGATTTAGTTACATTGAGGACTGATTCGCAAGTGAACATCGCGCGTGTGATAATAATAATAATATTATAATTGTTTAATTAATTTATTCTAAATCATACCAAACGTCAGCTCAGGTACTTGTGTTGCGTTCTAAGATGAATGTGTAAGAAAATAGACTTGCGTATTGCAATAATGCATAATTGCACACTACAGCAGCATATAATAATGCCGTACATAGATATGTAAATTCGCCGCAAAACATTCGTGACATGTAACATTTAACGGGATATGTTAAACATATTTCAATGTGTTTACTCTACTGACGAGCCCAAAGATCGCGTGACTAAAGGGTTAAGGTGGTGCCGGATAAACGAAGGCGAATATACTAAAATATGTAGATATATTTACCTTTAATGTGAGGATACAGAAAAAGGAAGGTGAGTTAATATGTTTGACCTATTTTAATTCATGGGGGGGAGTGGTGGCGCACTGGTCAGCACACTTCACCGTGAAACCCAGCGCCGCTTGAGTTCGATTCCTGGCCATAGCTAACAATATATTGTTTCGGTCTTTCGGTAAAGTCACGTAGATAGGTTCAAAGGAAATAACACAAAAATAACAAAAAACTACGACGTTTCGATCACAACACAAGTGATCGTCATCATCTTCCCCTCTTTTTTTCTTTGAACCTATCTACGTGACTTTACCGAAAGATCCAAAGAATATGAATTCCTGCAGTCACGAAAGTTTTAAGTCAAGATGTAACAATTTATTGGTGATAACATCTGAACGGGTCCCCTTCACGCAACCGTTCACTGGACCCGGCACGGTGAAGTATGGCCAAATAGCCCTCGCGACCGACACGATTGATCCGACAGGGGGCTTGACAAATGACTGTGACGTGTAAATTCGGTATAATTGATACGTGCACATCGCCAGGTTGATCTCAAAACTGCCCCTTATTTACTTAAACGGATTCTCGCCAAAGAGACATGCTCGCGGCTTAACGCCGCACTCACCTCACCCTCTCTCCCCGCCACTCTCCTCCTCCCCCCACCTTTCTCTTCACTCGCAGGCAAATCTGTAAAGAGTTCATGGACCTGTTGACACAGGACCGTTCCCCGCTGGGCAACACGCGACCTCCCCCCATCCTGGAGCCGGGCATTCAGAGCTGCCTGACGCACTTCAGCCTCATCACGCACGGATTCGGCAGCCCCGCGATCTGCGCAGCGATGACCGCCCTGCAGAACTACTTGAACGAGGCTCTGAAGGCCATGGACAAGATGTACCTGAACAGCTCCAGCAACAGTCACAGTAATGCGGAGAACTCGGGCAAAACGAGCGACAAAGACGAGAAGCACCGGAAGTGATGATGCTGGAGGCGGCTGGGAGGTGGAGAGGAGGTGGAGGAGGAGGAGGTGGTGGAGGAGGAGGAGGAGGAGAGTGTGGAGAATAAAAGTCGTCGTCGCGTGTGCAAGGAGGATAACATAAATAAAAACAAAGCAAGCTCTATCCGTGACATCGGGCAAGGAAGGACGCTCTGAAACCGGGACTCTGGACACCTTCCAGTGGCTTAAGTTTATAGCCGCGTCGTCTCAAATTTCGGAGAGGGGGGGGGGGGGAAATAACACCACCAAAAGGCAGCGAACGAAATAATAAGCGGAAGAACACCATGGAGAGAGAGAGAGCCGCCTACGAATACGCGATTCAATCGCTGTTGGAGATGGTTTCTTTTCGTCCAGCCCCCCCCCCCCGCCTCCCTCCCTTATTATTTCCCCCGTGCCACGGGTCAACGGTCCTCAATGCATTCTAATTGTGTCGCCCGTGTTAAACAGACTGCCCCAAATTGTTAGCGGTTAATTCTACAGCTGAGTGCGTAGTCGCCTCCAGTGCTGTGCCGACTCGCACATTGGACAGGTCCGAGTCTCGGCTCTTTCGCTCGATTTAGGATATAATTTCGACGGGGAGGGAGGGCGGGAGGGGTGGGGGGAGGGGGGTGGAGGGGAGGGGGGGTGGAGGGGGATGCGGGAGGGGGGGGGTCTTTTTTGACGTGAATGTCTATTTATTTATGTGCAGTTTTATTGGGGATTGTAAATACGGTGCACGTTTCATTTGCTACAGTATATCAGTGAATTCTCGTGATAATAATATGTTCAACACTATCAATGTTTTCGTGTCATTTTAAATGGTGTGCTGGGAAATTAGAATAGATGAATGGCTGTTCGGGATACAGTGTATTGTATATTGTTGGGATTTGTAGATATAAGACAATCAAAATACAAATACTGTATTACAAAAAAAAGGGATAAAGGCAAACACAGCTACAACAGCAACAACAAATTGGGCTAAGCTTATAGAAAATTTGTATCTGTATGATATTTTGTCATTTGACTTACTACAAAAAAAAAGTGATTTCGTAATTTTGGCCATTGGTTTAATAAATGTCACATGCGTTGTTCCAAGACCTTGTCGTCCATGAATCTGCTGAGAGAAGATGTCCTCTTGCTAATCACCATCGACATTTTCCTTCTTGCCCTTGCGTAATAGCCTCTAATTACACCACGTGACGTTCTGCTGTATATATACTTACGTGTACAACATGAATAATGTTCCAATCGAGCACACAGTGTTTCTTCAGTGTTAGGCTAATTGTGTACACCGTCCGGTTAAGTGGTGCAAAGTCGTATCCGTCTGTCATGTTCTCGTGTTCTCGAACAGTCCGTGGCCCACTGGAAACATTAACCCCCCTTTTTTTCAATGTCACGAACGCGGCGCTCTGCGTTCCAGTATCCCCCTTCTATACGAGTGCCATAGGCGTCGACTTTACCGAGCGGAATTTTGATACATGATACGTGCATATAAAAAAGCCCCAAAGGAAAACAACAACATCTAAAAACGGACATAAATAAATCAAAATTTGTTTTCTAAGCGAGGGATCGGTAGTAGTGGTTTGTTATTGTCTGGCTCCTCTGGAATACGATGCGATGTTAAGGTATTAGCATCAGATGTTCGATTACTTGAACCCAGTTATGGACTCGATGAGGAGGGGGCGCGCGTGTGGCGAGGGAGGGGCGGGGCAGGAGGGATTTGGGAGAGTATGAACTTGAGGTGCCCTTTGAAACTCACGGTGACGCATGGAGATGTTTTGTAAGGAATTAGATTTCAATACTGTATTAAAATGATACTATTATGAGAACTGCAGAATACAGTAGTTTACTTTTGACCGTAACAAAGCGTGAGATTACCACACACACACAATGTGTTTACGTGAACAGCACACGTGCTGTTACACCATGGATCCCCGGTATAGCCCGTAAAGGTTTGCTGAGTGAGTTCTAATGAGCGATAACCTATGAAGGCTCAAACGGCGTGGCCAACACAACACCATGAACATGTTTGTCTCCCAAGTGCTGATGTGTACACTCGTGAACTATGTACAGTACTCATTTAAAAGCCGTCTCGACACAGGGAAGGTCCAAGACCGATTCGGATAATCGCAACTGATGTCAGCCGTGGACGGTAATTAAACTTGGACTGCAAGGTTCGAAGCGCATTGCTACCGCCGCCCATACACAAAAGACAAAGACACACACACACACATGCTCTATAATATGTAGGCTTACAGCTTATATTTTATTGTATGTTAACGATTTATATTTTGGATTTATAATTTACATATGTACTTATACACTGGATGCTCTTCGGTTAGAATGTGTCCACAGCAAAGGTGAAAGCGGTGGCTATCTATCCTATTTTTTTAAAATAACATTTTATTTAAAATTCATCTAAATCTCAAGTGCCGCATCAACGCATTGACGACGATGACGATGACTGCAAAGTTATCGCAGATTTCTTTGTTTGTAAAGTGCTCATTCAAATGGAACACAAGCCTCTTAATAATTAAATATACTCCAGCCAGGATTTATCCGAGTTAATCTTTTTCCTTTCTCTCTTTATTTTCTTTCATCCCTTTATTTCGCCCAATGATTTATTCCCGCGACGCTTCGGCGAATGTTGGCCATTATGAGTCGGCGCTTCTGGTTCTTGTTGATTTTTTGTCTTTACCAGGTCGGGCCAGGCGCCCAAACCTCACCCCCTCCCCATCTCTCGCACGCCGATTAGGACAACGGTGATGCTTGCACCTGGCGCTAATCAGCCTTCTCATAATTCAGCATGACACTCATTCCAATAAATAGAGGCGCGCTGATTATATATGCTGCATATGGTCGGGGGCGTGTGTGTGACGAGAAGGGGTGGAGAGGGATTTGATAGCGGTGGTTGTGGTGGTGGGAGGGTGGTGGTGGTTGGTGAAGGGGGGAGGAGATGGTGGATGTAAGTGGTGCGGGCAGCCGGCTGAGCAGACTTCAAGTTCAATAGCCGCGTATAAGACCATGATAATCGCTTGAAACGCACACAAAAAGTGGTTAACCAATGCGCCTCGCAAAGCGTCTAATATGATTGTGTGTGTTTTTGAACACGGACAATTAAACCTCCCCTTCGCCTTTTGGGCTCGGGTCCAGGAGGTCAACCACATATACATGAATAGGGCCCGGCAATATTGTGCATCTAACCGAAATATATTTTTTACCCGGGCTAGGCCGGGTACATACCGCTAGTGTATTATAAACGAAGGACAGTCGCCTATTTTTCTTCTATTTCAATAAAACTAAATTATTGACGGTGTTGGGAACTTTGTTCTGCACAACTGTGCGACCGCATGCTATAATTTATTTTGTAGGTGGATTATTATGTTTACACATCAGAAGATCATGAGCGGTAGCGGCGACTTGAGCAATGCCTTCGTCCAGTAGTGGATTGACCATGGATGCTGCTGCTGATGATGGTGGTCGTACTTTATTTTCCCATATGTTGCAATGTGCAATTGAAACGGGGTATGGTTGTACGACAGCATTTTTGGCCAAAGTTGGGACATCAAAAGACACCGGTCCCAATTGATTTCATGACGGGAGCTCATTCTCAAAACGTATTCAGCTCTCTGTGTTTGTTTGTCATGTAAACCAACGTCTTAAGGCATGTATCTGCCTCACACGCCGTGATATACCTGTGGGCTAAGCATCACACATTGCCCCAATTTTTCTGCCAACACATTTTTATTGCCTATCTATCTTCGCCATCCACAATATATCTTGACATTTATGTGTTCAATATAATTGGATAGTTTTCCTTCTTGCGCTTATCGTTCTTTCTTTTTTTGTACGCAACGCGTCGATTTATGGTATATGAAGTATACATTATGTTGTCTTTTCCGTGTTTAAAAGTTGCATTGGTTAAATACCAGCGGGAGGAAAATATTGAAGGGACGAGGTCACAACGTGATTCTGACAGAGGCACAGCCTGCCTGACAGGCCGTCACAACACAACGCTATCCTTTCAGTAAACAAACACCCGACAATACTAATCTCCGAGAGCGTTATTTGGCGGAGCGGTGGCGCAGCAGTTATTGCCCTGCGCGGTGAACCCGGGCAAAAGAAGTTCAATTGTCATTCGCGGGCGAGCGATATTTGAACGGCGATTGTTACCGCCTCATCCCCGTCACCAACCCGCTCTCACCGGTGCGGTGAAGCAAGTTCCATCAGCTATCAACACCGACACTGCGTGGGGAGGCCTTGATTCGGCAGTTGATTGACAAAGGACTGCAACTTTTATTGTTGTTGTTGTTTTATGATTCGTGCACGGTAAAATGCATATTATAAATGGCCTTGTTAATATCAACAACATGCTGCCCGGTAAGATGATGTATATCTGTAAGCCCGAGTTGCACACGTGCTTATTGCAGACGACGACATCCGATTGTGTCAGCGAGGTGCAGATGCATGTATACGATGTATGGGACAATATTGCATCGTACGTGTCGATTATAACTGACGACATTGTCTCGCGTCGGCGCTAGAGATACGAAACCCTATAGTGGCAGAGTCGACTTGAGAGTAAAGCTGCACTGACACTCGCACGGACATAACAAACACGGGTAGGATTACGCTCGTTGGGTGCGATACGACAAAGATAAAGATCCCCCGTATAGCCACACAGACTGTTGGGATAAGTGTCGTTCGCGAGCGCTTATGAAGGGCCCAGCACAATGGCACGTGTGTATTTGCGTGGCCGGCACCACATCCGTCCGCACTTATCTTAAAAGCGCTGATATTTTACACGTGGCACGAGGTACTCATTTGAGGCCGAGTCAACCTAGGGGAGCCACGGGACCGGTTCATATAGAAGTCGCCAATGATGTTAGCCGTGACCGCGAGTCGAACTCAGGTGGCCAGGGTTCGGTGCTAAGCATCAGGCAACCGCTCTATCCAACACACACACACACATATATACGTTGATCTTGTCAAGGAGAATAAACTATCAGGCCAACTCGGGTCATCCTCGCAGCGGCTTTTGGTCAGCCATCGAACAAAGACATCGCTCGCTTTCAGATGCGCTTCTACGACCGTCTGGAACGCTCTTCCTTTCGATATTAGGAAGCCACTGGAGCTATGCACTTTTAAATCTAGATTGAAAACGCATTGATTTAGAATTAATTTTCGTGTTTAGTTTGTTGTCCTTCCCCCGCACCTCGCACTGTTGGCTACGTACGGTGCGAAAGAAGTTCAAC